GTCATTATTTCTTAAAAGGCACAACAAAAAGCTTTTGCATTTCATGTAAAAGTGACTATCGAATAGATACAGTGATAAAAAGTACAGAATGTACAAGAAAATTTATATGGTTGGACACTGCTGTGGCATCCAGAAAATTAGAGGTGGTGCAGGCACATTTCTTTCTTTGCAACAACAAAACCTCACAAATTCTAAGCTTCCGGATAGTGTTCAGTGCAGCTGTACAATTCAGTTATGTGTGTCAGCGCCATACAGCGAGCACCTATAGCTACTATTGCATATGATGAATCTGCATATATCATACATTTCTAGAAAGCTAGGAACATGAGAGAATTAATACACCACTAAGCATTTGAAAGAAATTTCAAAGATAACTGAGCATAGTCATGTTTGAAGCACGGATGCCTTAACATAGCAAGAGATTACAAGGATTAGTGATTACTCTAAATTAAACTCTGCACTTTAGCAGAGAATACTGCAGCAAACCAACAAGTGATAGCATTACCAATCTGGGCAACTGCCAAATGCGGGGACTGAAACATTATACTCTCAGGCAACAAATCATTGAAGTTCAAAACAGTGTCTCATCTTCCAAATGGTTAGTCCCTAAAACTTCTAATCTAGCAGAACCAGCCAATCTAGCAGAACCGATATCAAATCTGTCAAGATAGAGAACATGCATTAATTTTGTAGTACAGAGAACAGTATCAAAAAGAAAATCTAGCATCATTAGATGAATAATTAGGGGGAATGGGGAGGTATGAACAAGGGACAACAAGAAGAACAGTAAAGATGAATTACCGATCTATATTTCTCCTATGGCTGCCAGAGAAGGTTCTGCGTAAGTGAGGGGAGTGAGGAAGGAGCAGCAGGACGATGGATATTATATGGACCCCCGTGGACGGGAGGAAGAGGTGAATCGACATTGGTAACTGACCTTCAATTATCAGCCAACGGAGAGTGCGCGCATCGATTGACATTTAATAGACCCTGATTTACTTCCTCAATCAATCGACGGCGATTCAACTCCAAACAACAACCGAAGGTTCGCTGTTCCGCCACTGCTCCATTGAATTCCCAGTGACGCGACCTGGCGGACGGTTAGATGCACCTGTCACCGCCCAGCGCCCGGTGGAGTCGCTCGGCAAGCCGACCCCCCGATGCGAGCCACCGGCGCCAAGCGTCGGCCGCCACGCGAAAGTTGCCCATGGGGGCCGCAATGCGAAGCGGTTGCTGAAAGAATCGACAATTTTTATTTTTATAAGGTAAACCACGTAGGAAGGATACTAAAAGCCCATTGGGCCGAATTTCACCAGGGACGCCGAAAAAACGGCCAGAGCAGCGGCCCAGGACGGTTCGTGCTTGATAACAGTGAACTAAGCCTGATTAGTGCGATTCACAACAAATCTGACGATTGAGAATGCCCCAAGTTGATGATCCGACGGCTGAAAATGCTAATGGTCCGAGAGGGCAGGAAAAGTGCTCAGTTGTAATGTATTTAAATGTCCCATCATGCTTTGGTTGATAACTCGTCTTGGTCTCGGCCCAAGATCTCCAAGACCACATATACAACTTATATATTCAGTTTTTTTAGATAAACAGCGTAGCTTTATTAGATACCAAAGGTTTAGGGATACATAAATGATCTGGAGGCGCGAGAAGCCACATATGACGCCCAACATCTAGGGTTGAGCCCATTTTAGCTAATCTATACGACTCCATTACTGCTACGCTGCTCATGGCTAAAGGTCACTACCAGAAAACAGACTTTTCCCCACGGCTAAGAACCCACAGGAAAAAGCCAAATCCCGTCGAACCCACAGGAAAAAGCCAAATCCCGTCAGGAAAATATTTCCTGACGGTACCCGACAAGAAAATTTCGCCAGGAATAAAACGACAGGGAAATCTTTTAATGCCTGACGGCCAGCCGACAGGAATTATTTTCCTGACGGTTATTCCTGTCGGCTACCCTCAGGAAAATCTTGATGCTGTCAGGTTTATAGGTAGACTTATTGTGACGGCCAGCCTACAGGGAAAATGGCACGCATGAAAATGAATTATGTTGAGCATGTATTTTTCTTTCTAGGATCAATGTTGAGCATGTATCTGACAAATCCATATCCTTCTATAATTACAAATTTATTAGCACATATCAATGGTCCACGTATGATCCCATTAAGTGAAAATCCACATCATATCTTCGTACAAGCATCCAAAACCAGTATATACATAGCACGTATCCATGCATGATTGAACATCTGGTAGATGACATCTGAAAATTTTAATTGCTGTTGTTTTATTTGCTCAACAGCAGTAACATGTCAGTTGTACTAAGTCCACTGGTTCATGATCTGGAGCATCATCTACACCTTCATAAGTTTCTAAGTCACCTTAGGCTACCACCATGTTCTCAACATCATTGTTGCCTTCGCTGTTGCCATTGCCGACGTGGTCGCCCATAGCACCATCCTCCAAGCTAACAGAGGATAACTCGGTGTTCCCTGCAAAGTCATGTACACAAGTAACGGGAATAATATTGGAAAGAGAAGGAGATGATGACCAACATCTTTCACCATATGAGTTGTTATCCGCTTAACTCTTTCAAGTTTCATCTTTTAGCATATCTATACAATATATCCTACAGCCCCATGAAACATATATTTTATATTTTAAAGTGGCTCCAAAAGATAATCTGGTCCACTTGATGATAATTTAGCTAATCAAGGACTAAAAAAGGATGTTCATTTAGTTTTTCTTTGTAAATCTTAGATATGGCATATGGCAGCAATGCAATCATTAGATGTTATACTACATCTTGGTGCTTTATAAAATAATGGATAGGATTAAACAATACTCACTGGTAGCTTCATGTTCGACCTTGTGCCCACTAGGACGACATTCTTAACGAGGTCCTGCCCTTTTTGCCCTGATGAAAAATGTGCAATCTCAAGATTCCAATCAAGAATAGATGATTTTGTTCAGAACAAGACTAAAGATTTCTGGAAAAGCAGAGTATACTTGTAGCCAGCGGAATAACAGTTTATCTAAAAAGATGACCAAGAAGGCAAGAACTTAAGAGATTGCATAATCCCCTAATTTTAGATATATAGTAAATTCAGCTTCATCTAAACTAACATGATGGGTGAAGATTGTAATTCAAGGAAGTAAAATAAATTAATGGGGT